TATATATATATATATATATATATATATATATATATATATATATATATATATATATATATATAGGTTTTGTTGAGGTGTGCAGACACCCCAGCCCAAGCGCAAAAATTTTTCGCGTTTTCGCCAAACTGACTTTTAAAGGCCGCATTAATCGATAAACCCTAAACCCTAAACCCTAAACCCTAAACCCTAAACCCTAAGCCCTAAACCCTAAACCCTTAAACCCTAGCCCTAAACCCGAAAAGCTAACTACTAAGCCATCAAATCCTAAACCCTAAACCCTAGCCCCTAACCCCTCGACGCCAAACCCTAAACCCTAAACCCTAAACCCTACGCTGCCTGCAAGGAAACATTTGGTTGGTGATTGTCTGCATTTGTTTGCTTTTGTTTGTCTCTCTCTAAAGTCTCGCTCTCAGCGAGTAAACAAAAAGGAGAGACGCTAAAAAAGAAGAAGCAAAAATAAATAAATAAATAAACAAAAGACAGCAGCACAAATAAACAAAAACAGTTTTTTCATTACCCTGTTGTATTCATCTTCTTCCTGTTGGTGCAGTTGGTGCTGTTGCTGCTGTTTCTGCTGCTGTTGCTGCTGCTGCTGTTGCTGCTGCTGCTGTTGCTGCTGCTGTTGCTGCTGCTGCTGCTGCTGCTGCTGTTGCTGCTGCTGCTGTTGCTGCTGCTTGTTCTCGCTGTTTATTTGTTTATTATTTTTAAGTTTTTCTGTCTTCTTCCTCACTTCTTTTATTTATCTCTTTATTTATATCTTTATTTATATAATAATAAAATTCGTAGATAACACCTATATATATATTACAGTATAACTGTATTATTACTTATGTTTATATATATATATATTTATATATTTATATATACATAAATAAATATATATAAATTGTTTGTTTATATACATATATATATTTATATATTTATTCATATATACATAAATAAACATATATACATATATACATATATATATATATATATCTATATATATAGATATTTATATTAATATATATATATATTTAATGTAGCTATTATAACTTGGGAATCTCAGGCCTATCTTTAAGTTTGATAGAAGGGCAGGTAGCAGGAGCAAAGCCGATGACTTCTTCGGTGATGTGAATAATAATATCTTTGCTGATGAAGAAGCTGCTGCCGAGTACAGCGGAGTCTTTATTGCTGCTGTCTTCGCTAATTGCGATGCAGCGGTAATGCTCATTACCTTTACTATAAAGATAAGCATTAGGCTCCCATCTTACCCACCTTTGCTGCTGCTGCTGCTGCTGCTGCTGTTGTTGTTGTTGGTCTCCTCCTTCTGCTGCTCCTGCTGCTGCTGCTGCTGCTGCTGCTCCTGCTGGAGGTGCAGCAGGAATAAATAGAAGCTCTATTACAGGAAATTGCAGCAAATCTTTGCGGCCTCGAGGTAAAAAATAACAAACTTCTCCGCCTGGACTATCAACTTTAACTGCTTGAGACTTTCTTCGAGGTGCTGAAGGAGGCAGCAGCTTATATGCTTCTGCTTCGCTATATTCATCTGCTGCTACAGCTTGCAAAGCCATTAAGACAGGAAGAGCTTCACTGTCGGCTACTTCGCTTCCTTCTGCTGCTCCTCCTGCTGCTGCTGCTGCTGGTGCTGCTGCTGATGCTGCTGGTTTCGAGGGAGGGGTGATAGAAGCTGCAGCACTTGCTAGAGACGAAGGAAGAGTAGAGGCTTCTAGTGCTGCTGCTGCTGCTGCTGCTGCCGTCAGCAGCACAGAACCTGGCTCCTCCTCCTCATCCTCCTCGTGCTCCTGTTGCTGCTGCTGCTGCTGCTGCTGCTGCTGCTGCTTCACTCGAGGCCTTCTTTGCGGTTCTGCTACAAAGCGAGGAGAAGACAAACCTAAGGGGCCCCGAGCAGCAACATCAGGGTGCACCCTATGAATAGAAAATATATCTAGACCTCCTCTACCTGCTGCTGTTGCTGCTGCTGCTGATCCTGCTGCTGCTGCTGCTGCTGCTGCTGCCTCTTCGCCGAGAGGACCTTCCCAGTTAACTGCGGAGGTTCTGCTGTTGTTCACAATTAGGCTGTCTCCATTCCATCCCCCGCTGCTGCTGCTGCTGCTGCTGCGGCTGTTGCTGCTATACCTGCTGCTGTTGCCGAGCTCCTGCAGCAACCTGGGGCCTTGTTGTGTGTCTGCGTCGGTGCTGCTGTGTTCTGTTTCTGCTGCTGCTCCAGCTGCGATTCCTTCATGTGCACCAGCAGCAACAGCAACAGCAACAGCAGCAGCAGCAGCAGCAGCAGCAGCGGGAGGTGCAGCAACTTCAACAGTTTCACCCAATAGAGGCCTCTTAAGGATTCCCCCTCTGCCTTCTGAATCATTTAATTCGTCTGGCAGCATCAGCAGGTCCTGATCCTGCTGCTGCTGCTGCTGCTGCTGATCCTGCTGCTGCTTCTGCTGATCCTGCTGCTGATCCTGCTGCTGCTTCTGATCCTGCTGCTGCTGATCCTGCTGCTGTTGCTGATCCTGCTGCTGCTGCTGATCCTCTTTCTGCTGCTGCTGCTCTTGCTCTTGCTGCTGCTGCTGCTGCTGCTGCTGTATTTGTTCGAGACGACTTTCGTCTCCTCTGAGCCTGCGCGTTTGTCTTTGATTTCTTTGCTGCAGCACATGCTGCTCTATTGCAGCAACAATTTGTTTATAAAGATGACGAGGGAAATAGGCTAATGTAGATCCTGAATCAATTAAAACGAGAAGAGTGTCTTTCTTCTTTAAACCGCCAGCAGCAGCAGGCCTACCCCATCCCCTGCTGCTGCTGCTGCTGCTGCTGCTGCTGCTGCTGCTGCTGCTGCTGTTGCTGCTGCTGTTGTTGATGCTAGCGGGCTGGTTCAGGACGAACTCAGCTTGTCGTGCTGCTGCTGCTGTGTCTTGGTGCTGCAGCAGCGGCAGCAGCACACCCCCTACTTTAACTGCAGCAAGACGCACATTATAGCTGTCTCTAATACCGATTATCGACGTCCAGTTAGGAGGCTGCTGATGAAATTCTTCATTTGCTGCACCAAAGGTAAGCACCCCTCCATGCTCTGCTAGACAGAGAGCAAAGACTCGCTGCCCTGTTAAACTGCTGCTGCTGCTGCTGCTGTTGCTGTTGCTGCTGCTAAACCCGTCTTCATTAATACTCTCACCCTCTCCTTCAATCTGCGGTGCTGCAACAGGCGAATTATGATGAATAAACCGCTGAGTGAAAACAGGAGGGGGTACATGGTGCAGCGGAGCCCCACTGCTGCTGCTGCTGCTGCTGCTGCTGCTGCTGCTGCTGCTGCTGGGGGGACGCGGCACATGCAGATCCTGCAGCAAAACAGAGTAAGGAAATGTCGGAGGCCCGAATGCATTCCACACCTCTAAACCCCAAATGCCTGAAGCTCTTTGAGTTAAAAATAAGTTTGTCTCCTCCATATGACAGCCAAAAGAAGCAGTTATTCCTGCTGCACTCACAGACCTGCTGCTGCTGTTGCTGCTGCTGCTGCTGCTGCTGTTGCTGTTGTTGCTGCTGTCGCGGGAGTTCGACAAGCCGCTCCACACCTGCTGCTGCTGCCTCCGCTGCCGCTGCTGCAGCAGCAGCTGCTGCTGCTGCTGTTGCAGAGGAGGAGCTTCTAAGGAGTTAGCATATTGTAGATATTGCTGCAGCGATTGGATGCTCCTATAAGCAGCAGCAATAACAGATGTATCAAATGAAGGGGGATCAAGAATGCTGTTTCTGCTGCTTCTGCTGCTGCTGCTGCCGCTTAAAAAGGGAGATCCTAGTGCTGCTGCTGCTGCGCTGCGGCTGCTAGCAGCAGCAAACACCAGCGGAGGAGGAGGCGGTAGACGCATTTCATCTTGAAACCAAAAACCCTGCAAACTGCTGCCTTCCATGTAAGACACCCGGTATGCACAACTGCAGCAGCAGAGACAGCAGCAGCAGCAGCAGCAGCAGAGACAGAAGCAGCAGAGACAGAATCAGCAGACACAAAGAGCGAGAAGAATTGTTTGTCAGATTATTATTATTATTATTTATTCAGATATTATTTTTACCTTCTTTTTATATCGAAGTTATTTTTATTTATATTTTTATTTTTTTTAACTATCTTTAAACAGCTTTAATTATATAAAATGTAAATTAAATATCTTTGAGTTGTATGTTAATTATAATTAAATTAATTAATCTAAATTAAACTTACTGTTTATGATGTACATCGCAAAAAGAACAGCCGCTGCTGCACGGGGTGTATGCGCAGGTCATACTCTTCTCGCAGCTAAAAGGGAGATCAATATGCTTTCCGCAAGACCTAATAAATAAATAAATAAATAAATAATAAATAAATAAAAATAATCAATTAAATAAATTAAATAAATTAATATATATAATATATTATATAAATCATGTAGGTTAAATAGACACGATAAATAAAATACGTAAAATAAAATAAAATAAATGAGATAAACTTTTTGAAGATAAATTAAATAAATTAAATAAATATATTATTACATCAAACACAATCACAATGCAGACACCGCAGTACTCTATTTTATAAACTTGGAGGCAACATGCAACGCCTGCAGCTGCTGCTGCTGCTGCTAATGCTGCTGCTGCAGCTGCTGCAGCAGAAGCACAGCAGCAGCAGCAGCAGCAGCAGCAGCACTCGGAACAGTGATCCCTCTTTGCGTATAGGCCCATTCATCATCATCATCAGCAGCAGCAGCAGAAGCAGCAAAGTGCTCGTCTGCTGCGGCATGCAGCACCAGAAGCAGCAGCAGTAGCAACAGGAGCAGCAGCAAAGTGTGCTTTCGCTACTGCATGCATGCATGCAGCAGCAGTAGTAGTAGCAGTAGTAGTAGTAGTAGTAGTAGCAGTAGCAGCAGCAGCAGCAGCAGCAGCATGCAGCAGCAGCGGCAGCAGCAGCAGCAGCAGCAGCAGCAGCAGCAGTTTACTTGCAATGTTCACAGGGAAACGCCATCACTGAACTCCCCGTATCTAGAATAAGACTTTGTCTCTGAGGCATTCCCGTTCCTACAAACAAATCTGCAGCACAAACAGCAGCAGCAGCAGCAGCAGCAGCAGCATTGTAGGAGCAGCAGTAGCAGCAGCAGCAATAACAACGTTGCAACAGCATTAGAAGCAGAAGCAAGATCAACAAAACGAAGAACAGGAGCAGCAGCAACAGCGGCAGCAGCAAAACCAGCAGCAACAGCAGCAGCAGCAGCAGCAGCAGCAGCAGCAGCACCTGCGAAGTAATAGGCTGTTTGATGTATATTTCCATAGGCGAGAGTTCGTATCGGGCGAATCGGCTGTGGGGTTCCTTGGCCTGAGAACATGTCTGCTGAAAGCTCTTCTTTTTGTCGTGGTTCTGCTGCTGCTGCTGTTGCTGCTGCTGCTGCTGCTGCAGCTGGGGGGGCACCAGCAGCAGAGCCAGACGAAGAAGAAGGAAGCGAATCCCGCCGATGCAGGTCGCTCGACGTGCTGCTCCCCTGCTGCTGCCGCTGTTGCTGCTGTTGCTGCTGATGGTGCGGGGGCTGCTGCTGATGCTGCGGGGGTTGCTGCTGAGGCTGCGGCTGCTGCTGCGGCTGCTGGTGCTGGTGCTGGTGCTGCTGCTGCTGCGGCTGCTGCGGCTGCTGTTTCTGCTGCTGTGCTGCGTAGGCTTGCTGTTGGTGAGGTGTCGGTGGGGGCGAAGGAGCAGCAGCAGCTGAAGTGCTATCGGCAGCAGCAGCAGCAGCAGCAGGAAGGTCCTGCTCTTCTTGCTGCTCCTCCTGCATCTGAGCAGTCCAAGTGAGAGCGAGCCCAGAAGCAATTCGCTGCTGGAGGCGCAGCAGAGGAGGCAGCAGCAGAAGCAACTGCTGCTGTTCCTGCTGCTGCTGTTGTGTTTGCTGTGCTGCAGCGCTGCCGCAGCAGAAGCAATACACCAACGCCAGCAGCTTAATTATTACGATGCCTTTAAGGGAGATGATGCGGGGACTTAAAGACCAGCCGCTTGTGCTGCCTCTGCAGCTTCTGCTGCTGCTGCTGCTGCTGCTGCTGCTGCTGCTGCTCTCGAAGCTGCTATTGCTGCGCAAAGCAGCAGGCAAGGGGCCCCCAGGGCCCCCATTGAGGCGGGTGAACGTCATGAAATATTTCTGTAAATTAATGTGCTGCCTCAGCAGAAGGAAGGAGATGTTGAAGTGTACATACAGTGCGGAGGAAAGGACAGAGTCAAACAAAGCAGCAGCAGCAGCAGCAGCAGCGGCAGCAGCGAGCAGCAAGCAGCAGCCCGGTGCAGCAGCAGCGCGTGCCTGATGGCTGAACAGGTTTTGAAACCGCCACTCAATTTATTAAAGGTGTGATGAGGTGTATATACACCTCAGAAGAGCAGCAAGCAATAGCAGCAGCAGCTGCTGCTGCAGCAGCAACACCCAGCGGAATGTAGCAACAAACGGAAGGAAAGGAGCCCCTTGAAGAAGTCTGATGAAAGAAATGCGCCAAAGAAGACGCAAAAAGGTTTAATTGGATATATTAGGGGTTTATTAATCTAGGCAGAGGGAGAAGAGATGCAGCAGGAAGTATTGATGATAGGCGTATGCTTGAGGTGTATGTACACCCGGAACAGCTGAGCACGAAAGTCGTACTAAAAAGAAGAGAACTTTGAATTAATTGCCATAAAAAGAGAAATAAGGTGATTATTTTTTTCAATTTATCTTCTTAAAGCACTTTCATACACATCTTTTTGCAGTGTACCAGCAGCCTCTGGTGAGCAGAGAAGGGCTGCTGCTGTTCTCGTGATCGACTCACCAAGTTTAGCCGTAAAGACTCTTTAAATATGTAAATAAAAGCTAAATAATAAATATAAATTGTTTATTTTATTTAATTTTGTCTATATTTCTACTTTATTAACTCCCTATACACTCCAATACCATAGCCGTTAGCAGGGCGTGACCGCGCTAATTGGCGACTGACGGATGGGGTGTATGAATGAAAAAAGAAAAAAAATTGTTTTAAAGAGCTAAATAGAGTTTAAATATTATTTAATTTAATTATTTATTCTTTTTTTCTTATTTAATTCCTCTTTTAATCCGCCTTCGATATAGTGTAAGCAGCCAGCTGTCGGCGGTGATGACGCTGGTCAGCACTGGAGAAGACCACCCTATATTTGGGGTGTATATGCAGCTAGTGAGCATATTTAGAATGCAAAATAAAGACTATTACCATTAAAAACAATTAAAAACAATAAATATAAACATTTAAAACAAAATATTCACAACAGACCCTTTCTAATATACCCATTCATACCCTTTTTCTCATAGAAAATAGAGCTGCAAGCAGCTGCAAGTGTAGTTGCTTGTTTTTTTGCTCTTTTTTGGTGTATAGAAGCATAAAAGTAATTTAAATACAAAATATAAACTTTATTTATATTATAGAAAGCAATATTTGCAAAGAAAAACAAAAACTATAACAATTAGACAGGTAAGGTTTCACCGGTAGTAAGTGATAGCCTCCCCTCACGCTGCTGCTGCTGCTGGTGTTGCTGCTGTTGCTGCTGCTGCAGGAGCAAGTAGATTGAAATAAATAATAAATGATATAAATACAGAGTTTTTATGAGGATTAATATTGATATTTATTATATCTATTGCAGTTTCTACCAGCAGTAATACACAGAGCTTACTAAACTAAGAAGCTACTCTTCACAGGGCAAGAGCACCTCCTTCTTCTGATTTATATTTTGCTTTGTTTATTATCTTTATTCTTTTTTCTGCTTCTTTCTACTTTCTTTAGGCTTTTAATCTGGCCTTCTGTGGCTTGTTTATGCCGAGCTGACTTCTATTAAATCTTACTCTTCTTCTCTGTCTTTCATATTACTCGAGTTGCTGCTGCGGTTTATAATACACCCCAATACCTCCTCTTCCTTCTTGCTGCTTCTCTTCTAATCAATTCTTCTCTCTTTCTATTAGCTGCGCACCAAGTAGCAGCAGCAGCAGCAGCAGCAACAGCAGCAGCAACAGCAGCAGCAACAGCAACAACTGCTGGAATAACAACAGCGGCGGGAGTATCTGCAGGAATAGCAACAGCAGAGCAATAGGCGCAGCAACAGCAGCAGCAGCAGAAACAGTATCATCATCATCATTACAATCAGAGCAGCAGCAGCAGCAGCAACAACAACAACAGCAGCAATTACTGCAGCACAAGGCCTTCGTCTATCTATTAACTGTATTGAAGACAAAGTATATTCTCTTTTCATTATACTTTCTCTTTATTTATTTATTTATTTATTTATTTATTTATTTATTTATTTATTACATTCACTTCCGCACTGCTGCGGAGAACGCACAGTGCTGTTGTCTCTTTGGCGCAGCACCAGCTGTATATACACCTGAACTCTATAAACACCTTAACTTTATATACAACATAACTTTATATATTATATACTTCAGCTGTATATACACCTGACCTGTATATACACCTGAGTTGTATGTACACCTGAGCTGTATATACACCTGAGCTATATATAGAATATAACTGAGCTGCATATAATACAGCTGAGCTCTAAGCAAACAAACAAACAAACAAAGAAGAGGTGTTGTTAATATAGTTGAGGTGTATGTACAGCTCAGCACTGGCAAGTGGGTGGCGTGCGTTTGCTCCTAAATACAAACATATAAATATATATATTTAACTATATATATATATACTTATATGTATACTTATCTATATTATATATCTATTTGTATATATTGATATTTATAAATAAATATATATATATATATATATATATTTATATATTTATATAAGTAAATAAATATATAAATATATAAATATATATATATATATATATATATATGTTTATTA